GATTTCTTTAATTACTTGCTCCATTATCTTCCCTGGCACAGAAGTTAAACTAACTGGTCTGTAGTTTCCTGGGTTGTTCTTATTTCCCTTTTTATAGACAGGCACTATATTTGCCCTTTTCCAGTCTTCTGGAATCTCTCCTGTCTCCCATGATTTTCCAAAGATGATAGCTAGAGGCTCAGATACGTCCTCTATCAGTTCCTTGAGTATTCTAGGATGCATTTCGTCAGGCCCTGGTGACTTGCAAGCATCTAACTTTTCTAGGTGATTTTTAACTTGTTCTTTTTTTATTTTATCTTCTAAACCTACCCCCTTCCCACGAGCATTCCCTATCTTAGGCATTCCTTCAGACTTCTCGGTGAAGACCGAAACAAAGAAGTCATTGAGCATCTCTGCCATTTCCAAGTTTCCTGTTACTGTTTCTCCCTCCTCACTGACCAGTGGGCCTACCCTGTCCTTGGTCTTCCTCTTGCTTTTAATGTATTTATAAAAAGTCTTTTTGTTTCCCTTTATTCCCGGAGCTAGTTTGAGCTCATTTTGTGCCTTTGCCTTTCTAATCTTGTCCCTGCATTCCCGTGTTGCTTGCCTAGAGTCTTCCTTTGTAATTTGTCCTACTTTCCATTTTTTATAGGCCTCCTTTTTTATTTTTAGATCATGCAAGATCTCGTGGTTAAGCCAAGGCAGTCTTTTGCTATATTTTCTATCTTTCCTACGCAGCGGAATAGCTTGCTTTTGGGCCCTTAAGAATGTCCCTTTGAAAAACTGCCAACTCTCCTCAGTTGTTTTTCCCCTCAGTCTTGATTCCCATGGAACCTTGCCTATCAGCTCTCTAAGCTTACCAAAATCCGCTTTCCTGAAATCCATTGTCTCTATTTTTTGCTGTTCTCCCTTCTGCCCTTCCTTAGAATTGTGAACTCTATGATTTCATGATCACTTTCACCCAAGCTGCCTTCCACTTTCAAATTCTCAACCATTTCTTCCCAATTTGTTAGGATCAAATCTAGAACAGCTTCCCCCTGGTAGCCTTTTCAACCTTCTGAAATAAAAAGTTGTCTCCAATGCAGTCCAAGAACTTATTGGATAGTCTGTGCGCCACTGTGTTATTCAGGGTTCCCATGGCGATACCTGCGGCCTTTGGGGGGCAAATGGCTCCCAAGGCCACCTCCCAAAAATCAAGGGAAGAGCAGCTCTAGGGAGGCAGGCACATCCCATGTCAGATCCCCAGCCACCGGCATGCGGCATGCTGACACCCCAGCTCCCACAGTGCAGGGGGAGTGGAAATGGGGCGGGAGGGCGAGGCCTGAAGGAGCCAGAGGGCACCGAATGTCCCACCACGAGGGCACTGAGCCCCAGTGCTGCTCGGTTGTGAGTGGGCACACGGAGGAAGAGCAACAGGAAGGCTGGCAATAGGGGTGGAGAGCCGGAGAGAAGGGGGCTCTGACGGAAGTGAGGTCAGGCCAGGACACAGCTCAGATGCTGGGTAGCAGGGGAAGCTTCCCCCAGCTGTTGCTTCTACAGGGTGAGGAAGGTGGCACGTGCACGGGGGCGGGAAACAGGTTGTGGGGGCATCCGTGCAGCTGGAGGCTGGGGAGGGGGAGTCCCCAGACTTGCCTGTGCTGTCTTGGCTATCCCTCTTCTTATGGTCAATCTCCACCGTCCCCACCATGTATAAGTCACGGACCTGCAGAGAGAGACACCGGAGACCCGGTCACGGACACTGCAGGACAACAGGTCTCCGCTCCCGCGGAGGGGAGGCCAAAACACCAATGGAGGAAATGCAAGGAGCCCTTTGCACACAGCCCTTTGCTTCGGACATGAAGGTGGCTAGCAACCCGTAGAGCTCACCGCTGACTCCTCCCCAGAGCTAGCTACATTTGCTTGCTCACTAGGACTGTGCACATCATGGATCATTCCTGCAGCTGCACAGTTCATTCCTGGATTCTCCACTGGCTCTGAAGATGTGCAGACGTACACGCTGCTGCGCCTGTCCCTGGGCAGCAGCCGGCAGGAATAAGAATGCCGTAGGGGGATAGTGGAGATAACCAGGCAGGGAGGAGAAGTGGCTTTAGGAACAGGCTGCAGCTTACACCACCAGGCACAAGGAGCCCCGGCAGGGTAGGATCTCTGCGAGGCCTGGGCAAGTTACCTGGTTGGGCTTTATGGCTTGGAGGTTGATGTTGGGGTAGCGAGTGGAAGGGTCGATGCTGTACTGGCTGATGTTCTTGTTGGTGTTGTCGGGGGATGTTTGAGACAGCTGCTGGTAGATACTCTCCCTGCGCAGAGGAAACGGGCCGGGTTAAACAGGGACATTCCTCCAGCGCTGATCTCAAAAGCGAGGAAGATAAAGAACGGAGGGTCCAGAAGAGGAAAATAGCAAGAAAAATAGAAAGGAGCATAAACTTTGGCAAGTCAAGTGTAAAAGCATAATTAGACAGGCCAAGGGAGGATCTGAATAGCAACAGGCTCAAGACACAAAACCGGCACATTCTTTAAGGACCTCAGAAGCAGGATGCCGGCCAACCAGTCCATCGGTGGGGCCTCTGGACAATCTAAGTGCTAAAGGAGCACTCGACGGGGGGGGGGGGATCTTCCCACACCTCAGCCAATCTTTTTAGGTGACAGATCTGAAGGGCAGTTGCAGATGAAGCAGGTTTTGGAATAAACGGATCAATTAAACGGGACTCAGTCACCAGACCCAGACGGGATTCACCCAAGAGTTCTACGGGAATCTGCAAAACTGTGAACTATGCTATGTAACCTCTCGCTTGAATCTGCCTTCACACCTGATGCCTGGAGGAGAGCTGAGGCGGATAGTTCTCTGAAAAAAATCGGCTCAGTGGGCAGCAATAGTCAAAAAAGCAAAGCAGACATTGGGGCTACCTCTACATTGGCGCGTTCTCACGCAAAAGCTCTTTTGCGGCAGAGTTCTTCTGCAAAAACTTTTCCAGGAGAGAGCGTCTACACTGGCATGTGCTTTTGCGCAAGAGCATCCATCCCTGTGTAGACGTTTTCTTGCGCAAGAAAGCTCTGATGGCCATTTTAACCAGAGGGCTTTCTTGCGCAAGAAATTCATGTTGCCTGTCTACACTGGCCTCTTGCGCAAGAACAGTTGTGCAAAAGGGTCTTATTCCTGAGCGGGAGTATCATAGTTCTGGCGCAAGAAGCCCTGATTTCATACAGTAGAACGTCAGTTTACTTGCGCAAGAACACACGGCCAGTGTAGACAGGCAGCAAGTTTTTGCGCAAGAGCAAACGCTTTGGCGCAAGATCACGCCAGTGTAGACACAGCTTGGGAGCCATTAGGAAAGGGAGAGAAAATAAGGCAGAAAAATATCATAATGCCATCCCCAAACACACAGGGCACCGTGCCTTGGCGCAGTTCGGGCCACTCCCTCTCCAAAAAGATGCGTTAGAATTGGAACAGGTCCGGCGCAGGGCAACAAAACCCATTGCAGGTGTGGAGAAGCAGCAGTTGGCACTTCCTGGCAGCCAATGGTCTTAAGAAGGGCTGAAGCCAGGGCTAAGCAAAAGTGCGTCTGAGACCCCAAACCTGGCTTTGTCGGCAGCACAGCCTCCGCCCACCCCCAGCCCTGCCGAGCCAGGAGTGGAGTCTGCAGCGTTCGCGCGCTCCTGGTCCTCTTTGCTGTTTGCGTCACACGGACCCTGTCTGCCTGGAACTAGACCAGGGCACCCGGCAGCGAGGGGGACACTATGGTGGGAGGCTCTGCACTGCCCTGAGCCAGCCCGTCCCCGTGGCCCCACAAGGTTGCCAAAGCAGGGTGAGCCAAGGCACCAGGCACAAGCTGGTTCTGAGCAGGACGCCTCAGTAGCAGCCACACTCCGCATTGCAGGGGGCAGGAACCAGCGGCTGCACATGGACCTGAGGCCACCTTGTGTGCTCAGAGAATCTGATGGGCCGTACGCTGCCTGTTATACAAAAGAACTGTCTTTATAGTTAGCAACATAGGGAAGGCCACACTGGATCAGATTAGGGGCCCATAGACTAAACCCTGGCTGCAACAGTGGCCAGCACTTGCTGCTTCAGAGGAAGGTGCAAGAACCCCGCAGTTATGGGATTACCTCCTGTCTCCTCCCGACTCTCTGTCTTTAGAGGTGGGCTTGTGCCCTGCTGCAGGGGGACTGATAGTTCTTGTATTGCACCAAGCAAACGCACACAGCCTGGAACTGGGAACAGTCCCCCACCGTCCCTGGCAGGAGCACAGTCCTCACCTCTCAGCCAGAACGTCCAGCGGGGAGGTCCCTGCTGCCCATTTCTTCACCATCCAGGCAGCGTCAAAGGCAGCCAAAAACCCGCGTGCCACGCCGGTGCCCAGAGGCCAGAACGGCTACAAGAGAAGAGAGGGGGAGGGAGGGAGTGGAGCTGCACATGTGTTCAGCAATCAGGAGAGTCCCCGGGACACAAGAGCCTCCAGCTTCCAGAAGCAACCGGCTCCCGAGGTCTGGCAAGTGGGTGCGGTGCTCGGGGGCCGCCCGGGAACCCGGGATGGTTCGCGCACAGCGCTGCCCGTGGAAAAGCAGAGCTGCAGGTCAGCACAGGGGAGCACTTCTTGGGGGGCTCTCGCTTCAAGCCTCTCTCCTACTTAGTCCCACCCCCAGGCCCCGGAAAACCAGAGCTGTGGGGTCAGCTGGCAGCCCAGCTCTCCCAGCCAAAGGGCTGCTGGGATACAGACAGGGCCAGATCTAGGCAGGGAGCCCAGGCTAGGGAACAAACAAAGGGAGGGATCAGTGGACAGTCGGCTGTCTGCCTGGCTGGTCGGAAGGACGACCCTCAGCCCACACTGCCCTAGGCAGCATTCACCCCGGCCAGCCCAGAGACCCAGAGGGAGACAGGGAGGGGCACGGCCCAGAGAAAGGAAGCAACTTGAGACACTCCCCTGCGTGAAGTCACCTAGTTAAAAGAGCCCTGCCATGTGACTCTTGCCACGTGACTCCTCGCCAGGTGCATCTTCACTCCAAAGAGCAGTTCGCCGGGACCCCAGGCTCCGGCGTGCCACGCGCCTGCTTGAGCCAAGCGGCTGGGCCACCCAGAGCCCTGCACGGCGCTGGGACTGGCAATCCAGCGGCACGTTGGGGCCGAGTTACCCTTTGCATGTGGACAGAGCGTGTGGCTAGGGCTCTCTCAGCACTGCCCCTGCTAATAATGTGTGGCCCCACAGTGGGGTCCTTATCCCAGTTCAGCAGCGAGGGAAACTGAGGCACGCCATGGCGAATGGTCCATAGAGTCAAGAATGGTGTCAAGAATGGAACCGGAAGACCTGACACTCAGCCCCTCACTCCTAGCCGACCCCCTCCCATGACCAAGCTCCATGCTATATGTGGCCACAATCTCACACGTCATACCCCGGCCGCGGAAGCACAGGGAACGGCAGCAGAGCATGGCTTAGCAGAGCAAGCACAACCCTGCTAGAAACCAGTGGCTACATGCTGGGCCTGGCTAGGCCGTGCCTTCCCCACTGCCACCCACCCTCCCATGGCCGTGCTCGTCTTTATACTCGCACTAGTGCGAGGAAAACTGGCGTGAGCACGTGGCACGCGCAGGGGAATCCGCTGCGAGCTCCTCGTGTAGGCGTGGCCAGAGGAGGAGCAGCTCTTGGGCACCTGGCAAGGTACCGACACTGCCCCCGTTGCTGCAGCACAGGTGTGAAGAAGCTGTCTCAGGTGAGGGGAAGATGGGCATAGCCCAGAGAGGGGACGGGCAGCACGACAGATCCGACGGGGACGGTTAGGCTTTGCGCAGCCCACGGGACACTCAGGGAAGGAAATGCTGAGGCATGCTGAGGCAGCAAAAGGATCCGGACAGAGCACCCCACCCCCACACGCATTCATCTCCTCTCAGCGGGGCACTGACCTCCACCAGACAGTCTCCCACCAGCCCGATGAGCAGCCGGACCCCATGGCACTCGCGCACCAGGGCCGCGTTCTCCGAGCCGGGCGGTTCCGGTGGTTCAGCGCAAACTCCAAGTCAGGCAGCTGGTAGTTGGTGGAGAAGTTGGCAGCTTCCATGGCATAGCTGAGGAGGGCTTCTTGATTGACGTTCTCGGCAGACAGCAGGCTCTCTATGTCGGCCTTGTCCTACGGGAACACGGGGGGAAAGAGGGGAGTCAAAGGGGGGCTCTGTTCTGGCACAGGAGCCTAAAAGCATATTTGTCTGTTCACCTCCCATCAGGTGGCATCCACCTCTGAGGTGGAACGTGGCAGCTGAATAAGAGGTCTGGGCAGAGAATACAAAGTTACAATGTCTCTCATTGACATCGCAAAGAGGGACACGGGTCAGCAGTGCGCAATCCCCATGAGGAAATAGCCAGGACACATCCACGCCAGCAAGGCCGCCGGTCCCTTCATTTTAAGTCTCATCTGAAAAATGGTATTTCCAGCACTGTGCTCCTAGCACCAGATTCAGACACTGTCGCAGCACTGACTTGGTACGTCTCCACTGCACTCCCTGGCTTTGTCTAGACTGGCAAGATTGCGCAAAATCTTGCCAGCTGTCTACACTGGCCGCTTGAATTTGCGCAAGACCACGGACGATCTCATGTAAGATTGTCAGTGTTCTTGCGCAAATACTATGATGCTTCCGCTCAGGGATAAGCCCCCTTGCGCAAGAGGGCCAGTGTAGACAGGGAAGGAATGTTTTGCGGAAGAAAGCCCCGATGCGCAAAATGGCGATCGGGGTTTTCTTGTGCAAAATCGCGTCTAGACTGGCCACGGATGCTTTTGCACAAAAGCACTTTGTGTGTAAAGGCACCTGTGCCAATCTAGATGCTCTTTGCGCAAATGCTTTTAATGGAAAAACTTATCCGTTAAAAGCATTTGCGCAAAATCATGCCAGGCTAGATGTAGCCCCTGAGTGGAACTGGCTTGTCCAAGTGGGGGTAACCATGCCAGTTTTCCTCTGGCTGGCTCGGGCGTGGGAGCCGTGAGCCCATGGCTGCTACGAGCTGTACACACCCACCTGGAGCTCGGGGTCACACAACGAAGCAGCCGTGCCGGGACCCCAGGAACCCGCATTAAAACCAGGCTGGAGATGTCCGCTCGCAGCAGGGCTTGTGAGCTAGACATGCCCAGAGAGAGCAGTGCCTCTCGACGAACCCCCCCCGCACCATTTCTGTGTCCTCTGCAGGCTGTGTCCTCTGCAGGCCTCCTCTCCAGGCTCCAGCCTGCGCCAGCACGGACAGAGCGGCAGCACAATGCACACAGCGACACGCACTGTGCCTTATGAGTGATGTTCTCACGCGCTGGGCGGGTGCACACTACGCTGGTGCCCTGGTGAACTAGCTGGTTAGTCCCATATCTCGGCTGGGCCCATGCCTGGAATTCCAGTCCCGAACACACTAGCCCCCTACAGCCCCACCCCACAACTGCCATTCTCCTGCCCAGCCCTGCCCTGGCCCCAGGAGCCTGCTCACCTGTAAAATGACCCCCTTTTTGAGCAGACTCTGTTTTTTGGCCGTCATGACAAAATAGTGGGTGTCGTCTTTGTAGTAGACAATGTTCTCCAAGTCGATACCTGGCACGGGGCAAAGGTATAAACATAGGGTTGAGCTGCGGCTGGGCAGGGATGAGAACACTGCACCAGGACCGAATCCATCCACAGGCAGGGCAGTTGGAGACAGCAACTGCCAGCCCAGATGAGCCCCAGAGGCCATTACTCTATGCAGTAGGGTCTCCAACAATGGCCAGAACCAGCAACTTCATCTCAGAATGTAAAACGGAGCACTTGCTGGGGGAAGTTTCTTCCTGACCCCAGGCTGTTAGTATCTGGCTTATGCCCTGAAGCATGAGAGTGTATAACGTAAGTATCCAATGTCACATCACTGGTGATGCTCTTACTGCCCATGATACAGAAATGTAGGGCTGGAAGGGACCTCAAGAAGTCGTCTCCTCCATCCTCCATAGCAATTTCTGGCCCGGTCCAGCCTGCGTATACACCTCTGGTCTCGGTGCTAGCCAGTGGCAGTGAGTCCCACAGGCTATCACATGAAAGTGAACTTCCTTTTCTTGGTTTTAAGTAGGTTAGTTTTTAATTTCACTGAACTTCCCTCGATGCTGGGTTATGACACAGGGTGGGCCGAGGTTCCCATCAATGTGTTCTCAGCAGCTGGCTGGGTTATATATTGGTTTTCCCCCTCTGCTTGGTTTCCCTCTTGGAGTTCAGGCTGAGGGCACAGGATGATTACCTGAAGCCCCTGAGGGAGGAAGGGAGGGAGGGAGGGAGGGAAGGTCTCTTTGGGTATGTCTAGACTGCATCCCTATGTGGACAGATGGATGCAGATTAAGCACATCGAAATTGCTAATGAAGCCGGGATTTAAATATCCCGCACCTCATTAGCATAAACATGGCCGCCGCTTTTTTCTGACACGGAGCTTTGTTGACAAAAAGCAGCAGTCTAGACGCGGATCTGTCGAAAATAAACCCTTTTTCGACAGATACTGGAAAGCTCAAAAAATGGGGTTGACAGGATCTGTCGAAAAAGGGTTTATTTTTGACAGATCCACATCTAGACTGCCACTTTTAGTCGACAAAGCTGCATGTCGAAAAAAGCGGTGGCCATGTTTATGCTAATGAGGCACGGGATATTTAAGTGCCGGCTTCATTAGCAATTTCAATGTGCTTAATCTGCATCCTGCAGTCTAGACTAACCTTTGGCTACGTCTACACTGGCATGATTTTCCGGAAATACTTTTAACGGAAAAGTTTTCCGTTAAAAGCATTTCCGGAAAAGCGCGTCTAGATTGGCAGGACGCTTTTCCGCAAAAAAGCCCTGATCGCCATTTTTGCCACCGGGGCTTTTTTGTGGAAAACAAATCTCTGCTGTCTACACTGGCCCCTTTTGCGCAAAAGTTTTTCGGAAAAAGACTTTTGCCCGAACGGGAGCAGCACAGTATTTCCGCAAAAACACTGACAATCTTACATGAGATCGTCAGTGCTTTTGTGGAAATTCAAGCGGCCAATGTAGACAGCTGGCAAGTTATTCCGGAAAAGCGGCTGCTTTTCCAGAAAAAGTGGCCAGTCTAGACACAGCCCATGTGTTTTACAGCCCCTGGGGCACTGCAGCGATTGGGCCCTGCCCGAGCCCCCTCCAGGGGGCTACCCAACGCAAATAATAAATAGCAGCAGCCCCTGAGCTCTCTGCTGGAGGCACCTTCTCTCTGCTCTCCCTCTGCGGAGGTGGGATCCCACTGCCTATTGCACGAGCCCCCCTCAGGCCCAGTTGCACAGCAGGGGCGAGTTGATGCAGCCCCGAGGCCGGGGTTAATAAAGCAGGGGATAGAGGGGGGGCAGCTGCCAGCTAAGGCCCCGCTGACCTGTTTTGTTGTAGAGGTTCTGGAAGAACTGCTGGTTGTAGATACGGGCCACGCCGCTGATCTCGGCCACCTCCACCTCGGCCCGGCTGTGGCGGTTGACAAAGTTCGTTGTGATGCCGATTGCCAGCTTCCCACGCGTCTCCTTCCGCTTGAACCCTGGGGACAGGCACACACACACACACCGGTCAGGCCTAGCCCACAGGAAAGGGCGTTGGCAGCACAGGGAAAAGCCAGCGCGAGGAGGGGCACAGCAGAGTGGCACAGGCCATGTCCGGCTGGTGAGGGCCAGGACACCCCCCCGTCTGCTATTCAGTGGCTCCCTGGCCCACGCAGCCGACTTTCAGGGTGCTGCATCTGGAGCAAGCACCAGGATGCCATAGGGCAGGAGTAGGGTTCAAGGAGGGGCCAGACCAAACCCCAGGTCTGAACCTCCCCACCCCCACAAGGGCAAGGGCTGAGGGAGCAGAGTGAAGGCAGAGGACAGGACCACATTCAGAGCACTGTGCATTGAGGGGGAGCCCCCAAGCGCTCCTGGCCCAGTGCAGATACTGGGGGCCAGACATTAGGAGGCCAGCGCCCCCGGAAGGGCATCCGCCCTGTTCGGCTTTGTCAGGGTAGAGGCAGAACTGGAGGCAGGGCAGTTCTGGGCTGTGGGGGCCCCTGGGCCAGCCCTGGGAATGCCCCGCCACGCGACAGCACCAGCTGTACAGCCCTGCGGATGTTCACGGCAAGCCTCACGGAGCAGCGTGAGCAGCCCTGGCAACAGAAGCTGAGCTGCCGCAAGGCCTCCTCTCCCACTTCCTCCTCTCCCCGCAGCTGCATTTCAGCCCCTTCACAGTACGGGTCAGCCAGGAGCCGCCTGGCTCCTGCTCCAGACAGCAGTGCGCCCGCTGGACGGGTGGCACAATGGCCAGGCCGGCTCCCTGTGAGCCGGGTCAGCCATTCCTCACGTCTCCCTCTCCCTCTGTGGTATGGAAGACCCCTCTGGGGCCAGCACTGAGGACTGAAACAGTCACCAACCCCGGTGCGCCTGGTGGACATGCCCCCTGCCCCGAGCTCTGTAGGGACTGCCACACCCCCAGGGGAGAGGAGAAGGAACATCAAGTGACAGAGATGGAGCACGTTATGTAGCTCCCCTCCCTCAGGCTGCAAGGGGAGGAGGCAGGCCTGAGCCCTCACCTTCCGGCACAAATTTGCCTCCGGCCGCTGAGACAAGGACATCAAACTCATACTGCCCCACGGGAGAGGAGTGGGGCTGGAGCGCAGCCCTCCAGCCACCGCCTGCGGGGAAAGACAAGGGAAAAGGAGGTGTCAGAGGGGCCCGACTGACACCCCAATGTGAACGCTCCCCCACCCCTTGCCATGAACATTGATACAGCGAGAGGACAGTGTGGTCTAGTGGCTTGCGCTCATGGCTGGTGCCAGGCGTTCTGGGTTTTAATCCCAGCTCACTGCATGACTTTGAGAGAGACACTCACCCCTTAATGCCTCAATTTCCCCATCTGTAAAATGGGGATAATGGTACTGACGTGTCTCCTGGAAAGGGGAGGGTTTTGTGAAGCTGGACTTGCATTTGTGGAGGCACCGGTATCAGTATTGAAAATAAAACAAAACCCTCATCAGCTCAGAACCACGTCACGAGAGTGTCAGTTCTCTGCAGAGACTTCAGTCCACTCACCCCTTAATGCCTCAATTTCCCCATCTGTAAAATGGGGATAATGGTACTGACGTGTCTCCTGGAAAGGGGAGGGTTTTGTGAAGCTGGACTTGCATTTGTGGAGGCACCGGTATCAGTATTGAAAATAAAACAAAACCCTCATCAGCTCAGAACCACGTCACGAGAGTGTCAGTTCTCTGCAGAGACTTCAGTCTAGTAGGAAGAAGGGATGAATTGCCCTAACTCCACCCCCGCTCGACCTATCAGGGGCAGATCATCCTGTACCGGAGGGAGCTGGCCAGTCCTAGGAGGGGGTGCCAGGAGCAGCATGGGGCAGCTGGGACCTGGCCCTGTGACCTCAGAAGGGTTCGCCACACCTGGGGCACTTCTCTGCATCCCCAGACAGAGCCCCTGCAATGAGCTGCGCTGTCGGCACAGGACAGACTGGATTTCAGCCACCAACAGCTGCAGTGTGTCCGGACCCAAGGCTCTGCTGCCTACCCCGTCTGCTCCCCTTCGCCGCCGGGGGGACGAGCCCCTTGAACTGCACGTTGATGTGAATTTCAACCCCCAGGAGCAAGGCCACCTTCAGGAGGATCAGCTGCAGCTGGCGGATACCTGGCGAGAGAGGGACGGAGCAGCGATCAAATCTCCCCAGCCACCAGAGGCAGACAAAGCCCGGTCAAGATTGGATAGCCCACAGTCCTATGCCTTGGGGGTCACAGATCTCCCCTTGGGGGTCACAGATCTCCCTGCTCTGACCCAAGGCAGCTCCCCTAGTTACTCACCTGCCAGCTACAGACATGGGGTCTGGCCCTCTCCCCCAGCCACAGCCATGGGGTACCTAGGGCCCTGCTCCATCACACTGCCCATAAACCGCACCGTGCCCCCAGCACAGCTCTGTCCACCCTCCACCCACACCCCCGACCCCGGCCACAGTGCGCCAGGCACTGTCCTGTCAGCCCGCCCCCGCCACGTTCTGCCCCCGCCCCGGCCTGCCCCGCGCCGCCCCGCGTCTCCAGCCGCACTCACTGATGTGGTCCAAGGTCCCGGTGCAGAAGCGCCCATAGAACTTCTTGGCACCCAGCGCCCGCAGGTCGTGGATGGTGTAAGGCCAGAGGTGCAGCACGTTGTTGCGGGAGAAGGTGTCTCTCTTCTCCACCAGCACGACGCGGGCCCCCAGGAAGGCCAGCTCGATGGCCGTGCGGAGCCCGCAAGGACCCGCCCCGATGATCAGGCACTGGAAGAAGCGAGGACAGAGCTGGACGCCCAGGGCAGAGTGCAGCCACTGAGGGCCAAGGGCTCCCCCAGGAGGCACCCCGGTGCTGATCCCTTGGGCTGGGCGCGTCTGCCTCTCCAGGGGCAGAAGGGCTTGAGTAGCTGAAGGGGGAGACTAGGCCTGGCTGGGGTCTCACGGCCTGGCGGGGCTGAGAACAGGGGTGAGGCGAGTGTGCCACGGAGAGAGGGCGCCGGGGTCTACACCACAGCAGGCAGGTGATTGTCTGAGATGGAAGCGTCAGGAAATCATCTTACCCTCTTTGACACGGGGCCCAGGTCACCCCACTGCTGGGGGAGCATCTGCAGCCCCAGGTCGGAAAGGCCTCCAGCCCTGGTCTCCCCTCACCCCACAGAGAATCCTAGAATCCGAGAGCTGGAAGAGACCTCAGGAGTCATCAAGTCCAGCCCCCTGCCCAAGGCAGGACCAATCCCAACTAAATCAACCCGGCCAGGGCTTTGTCAAGCCGAGACAAACACCTCTAGGGATGGGGATTCCACAACTCCCTAGGCAACCCATCCCAGTGCTTCACCGATCTCCTAAGGAAATAGTTTTTCCTAATATCCAATGTGGACCTCCCCCACCACAACTTGAGCCCATTGCTCCTTGTTCTGCCAACCGTCACTACGGAGAACAGCCTCTCTCCATCCTCTTTGGAACCTCCCTTCAGGGAGTTGAAGGCTGCTCTCAAATCCCCCCTCACTCTTCTCTTCTGCAGACTAAATGAGCCCAAATCGCTCAGCCTCTCCTCATGGGTCATGTGCTCCAGCCCCCTAATCATTTCAGTCGCCCTCCGCTGGACCCTCTCCAATGTGTCCACATCCTTTCTATAGTGGGGGGCCCAGAACTGGACACAATACTCCAGATGTGGCCTCACCAAAGCCGAATAAAGGGGAATAATCACTTCTCTAGATTTGCTGGCAACGCTCCTCCTAATGCACCCCAATATCCATTAGCCTTCTTGGCTACAAGGGCAGAGGGTCTGACTTGCCCCCCTTTCAGCAGGCCAGATTCACCTGTTGCAAACTCAGGCCTTGTCTGCATTGGAGATTTGCCCAGGTTCAGCGCCCAGGCCAGCCCCCGGAGAGAGCCCTGGGAAGATCAGCCCTAAAAGGCAGAGCCCTGCCAGTCCCATACCCGGACGGCTGACGTCCCAGCGTCTCTCTGCTGGGAATTCAGGGCTGAACAGTTACAGACTTAAAACAATGTTTTCGTTTCGGTCCCAGTTGTTCTCGTCCAAGGACAGATAATTGGGGAGCTGATCTCTGTGCCAGGCCGAGTCAGAGTGAGTAGCAACACCCCCTCTAGTGCTGACCTCTCGCCGCCTGCACCAAGCCACTCGCTCCCCGTTCTGCGTGGGGGACACAGGCAGCAGGCTCCAGCGAGCGGCCCGGCGCCCAGGGAATCAGTGTTGGAAGTCCCCAGCAGTGCTCCTAGCCCCCTGCGTGCCCTGCGGGCAGGTGTCTCTTGCACACCCAGTACCTGCCCCGGCCTGGCTAGCAGGAGGCTTTCGGTGCCCCCAGCCACTCGCTCCCCGTTCTGCGTGGGGGACACAGGCAGCAGGCTCCAGCGAGCGGCCCGGCGCCCAGGGAATCAGTGTTGGAAGTCCCCAGCAGTGCTCCTAGCCCCCTGCGTGCCCTGCGGGCAGGTGTCTCTTGCACACCCAGTACCTGCCCCGGCCTGGCTAGCAGGAGGCTTTCGGGAACAGTTCCGCCTGCAGCACTAGGGAGACAGGGCCCAAGCTGGAGATTTCGCAAACAGGCCAGCACAGGCAGAACTCTGCAGGAAGCTGCAGCCCCCCTGCCAATCCAGGATCACAGGTGTATCTGTGCGGGGCGTTGCTGAACTGCCAAGACCTGTTTATTTGCAGCACCAGCATCACTAGCCACTGCGCCTCCTACCTGAGCAGCCCGGGGGGGCTCAGGTCCCCTCACCGATCTGCTCAGCCCTGCCAGGCAAGGACAAACCAGTCACCCCTGGAGAGCCCATGGCGGTCACTGAGCCCTGTGCGCACCCCACACCAGCAGTGCATGCCCCGCCAGCGCTGACCCAAACGGTCTCAGCGCAGCGAGCCACAGCTGCCTCCAGACAAACACCGCAGCTAACAGCGAGGATTCGAACCCACGACTCCCCATTCTGGGAGCACACTCCACCTCACCCCCACACCTGAGGTAACAGAGCAGCTCCATTAGCTAGAACTAAGTAGTAGGCTGTTACAATTACATGACTCAGCCACTAGTGGGAGGCAAATCACGCCCCATAAGCTGTGTAATATCTTCTCTCTCAACATGGGCCCCTCCCTGCATAGGCCTGTCCTTCTTACCTTGGTGTTGGCACATGCCCTTCCCTGGTCGTAGTCTTTGTGCCCAGCCTTCTTGTCCAGTTTGGCCCACAGGGCCTTGGCACTCCAGTAGTTAAGGCAGGACTTGAGCTTATGGTAGAACTGCAGCTGGCCCTTGTGCTCCAGGCCCAGGTGCTCACACAAGGCTTGGAAGCTGCTCAGCACCTCCTGGCAGTGGCTGGCCCGGAGGAAGGTTTCAAACAGGGAGTGAGCCGGGTTGCCCTGCTCCCCATCCTGAGTTTTCATCATGGGTGCTCGGGGTCAGGAAGGGAGTCTGGAAAAGAGGGAGCAAAGCACAGAGTGAGCCAGGGACCTTCCTCTTAGTCTTGTTTCGCGGATATCCGCCCCCCCAAGGCATGTCCCAGCCTTCAGACATGTTACATTTCGCAGCTTACACAAGGGGATGTAGTAGAGAAACATCAAATACCCTGCTGGGAAGTTGCAACATGAGGCTGTTTTTACTCTTAGAAGCCAGCAAGATAACACACAGTAACCTGAACCAGAACAGGCCTGGTCTGTTACACCCACCTCCTTCATTTCCACACTGACTCAGCCACATCACACACTGCTACAGAGAGCCCTGGGC